TCATAGAGGGTCTTCCCCTCCTGCGCTGTCCCTCCACCCTCCCAAGCATGATGTCCCTCTCCAAGGACCTGTCCCTCCTGGCAACATGTCCAAATTATGTCAGACGAAGCCCCAGAATCCTTGCCTCCAAGGAGTAGCTTGGTTTAATCCTCTTCAAGATGAATCTGTTTGTTTTCCTGGCAGTCCATGGTACATTCAGTACCCTTCTCCAGCACCACAGCTCAAAAGCATCCACTCTCCTTCTGTCCTCCCTAGTCATTGTCCAACTCTCTGATGCATAACAAGCGATTGCAAATACCATGGCCTGTATCAGGTGCACCTTAGTCTCCAGAGAGACACTGTTGCTCCTGAGTACCTTTGAGAGGTCCCTAACAGCAGAGTGTGGTCCCTAACAACTGAGTGTGGAAACTACAGAACAGTGTCATTGATTTCACATGCAAGCAAGATTCTACTGAAGATCATCCAAAAACGATTAGAACAGCACATCAGCAGAGAACTGCCAGAAGTCCAGGCTGGGTTTAGAAGGGGTCGTGGTACTAGGGATATTGTTGCTGATGTTAGATGTATCTTGGCTGAAAGCAGAGACTACCAGAAGAATGTCTATCTGTGTTTCATTGATTATGCAAAGGCATTTGACTGTGTGGATCATAACAAACTGTGGCTGACTCAGAAGAATGGCTGACTCAGAAGAATGGGAATCCCAGAACATTTAATTGTGCTAATATGAAACCTATACTTGGACCAAGAGGCAGTAGTCAGAACAGAGCAGGGTAACACTGCATGGTTCAAAATTGGGAAGGGTGTACGCCAGGGATGCATCCTGTCTCCATACCTTTTCAACATGTATGCAGAGCAGATTATCCGAGAGGCTGGGCTCTATGAGGAGAATTGTGGCATCAGGATTGGTGGAAGATCTATTAACAATCTCCGTTATGCAGATGACACAACCCTGCTTGCTGAAACTGAGGAGGACCTCATGCACTTGCTGCGAAGGGTCAAGGACTGCAGCCTTCAGTATGGACTAAGGCTCAATGTCAAGAAGACAAAGATTCTCACCACTGGACCAATTAGCAGCGTCAGGATGGATGACGAAGAGATTGAGAGTGTTCACAACTTCAGTTTGCTCGGCTCCCCAATCCTTACAATAGCATCTTTAAATCAAGCCTGTCATAGTATTCATTTTATTAGAGGTGCTAAAGAGTACTTGACTTGTTTAAAGACTTCTATGGTCACCAGCCACAAGTGGTAGAGTTCAGAGTTATATAAGGGCATCTGATACCAAAGACTCCTTATCAAAGGCAATGAGGATGACAAGGAATTAGAGTAAGAGAGAAGAAAAAAAAAGAAAAGATCAAGACTGAGAAAAAAAAAAACTATTAAAAAGGCAGGAATGGAGGTATGGTGGCCTAGTGGCAAGAAGCTGTGCTGCAATCCTGAAGGCACATGGTTTGAGTCCACCAGCTGCTCTGGAGGAGAAGGGTGAGCAGTCTCCTCCAGTGTGATTACCTGCCTCTGAAAACCCAAAAGCTGTGAGTCGGTTCTGACTCAGTGGTACACAACAACAACAATGGAGATAAATAAGAGACAGAGAAGTTCAAGGATTCTGCCTTGGGGGTTATGTGTGTTTGTAAAGGAGTTTAAAGAATGTTTGTTCATTTAAGTAGCAAGATTACAAGAGAGTGATTAGGTTGTACATCATTAATTGAATTTTCTGCAAATCAGTTTAAAAGTCTTTAGGCACCCAGGCATTTTATTTGTTCAATTCATAGAACTAGCTAGGAGTGGAGTAAATAGGATATTTGAGAAACTTGGACAGAATTAAAGAACTGAGAAACATTGTTAAACATAAGCTTCTTCATTTTCCTCCTTTTTTTAATGAGAATACATTTTTTCTCTGTTTCATAGCTATACAGATTGTTGTTGCTGTTTTTATTCTAACAATAAGGAATGTCCATTCATAGATGTATGTATGTTGTTGTTGTTATGTGCCATCGAGTCATTTGTGACTCATAGCGACCCTATGTACAAGTGCTCTAAATGCTGTTCTATCCTGTGCCAACCTCACCATCTCAAACACACTCATTCCCACCACTCCACTCACAGAATTGATTTATCTCAACAAGGGTCTTCCTCTCCTGCACTGATCCTCCACTCTGCCAAACATGGTGTCCCTCTCCAAGGACCAGTCCCTCCTTGCAACATGCCCAAATTATGTCAGAAGCTTCAGAATCCTTGACTTCAAGGAGCATTCCGGCTTCACCTTCTCCAGGACAAACATGTTTGTTTTCCTAGCAGTCCATGGTATGTTCAACACTCTTCTCTAGCACCACAGCTCAAAGGCATCAATTCTCTTTCTATCATCCCTATTCATTGTCCAGCTCTCTGATGGATAGCACGTAATTGCGAAGACTATAGCCTGGATCAGGTGCACCTTAGTCTCCAGCCTGACATCGTTGCTCTGCAGTACTCTTGACAGGTCCCTCACAGCTGACTTTCCCAATGAAATTAGTTCCTTAATTTCCTGGCTGCTGTTACCAAGAGTGTTGACTGTGGAGTCAAGTAAACTAAAACTGTCAACAATCTCAATCTCTTCACCATCCATACTGATGTTGCCAATTGGCCCAGTGGTGAGAATCTTTGTTTTCTTGATGTTGAGCTACATTCCATATAGGAGGCTGCAGTCCTTGACCTTCTGCAGCAAGCTCCTCAGGTTCTCCTCAGTTTCAGCAAGCAGGGTTGTGTCATCTGCATAATGCAGGCTGTTGTATAAATATAGAAAAAAAATCCAAGTAGTTAATTAAAAGATGAACTTCAAGGAAATTGTATTTTTATAGCTGGTAATTATTTATTAAAATTTATGGCATATTAACTATTATGGTCACTCTGAACCAATAATTACAATGCTAATAAATCTAGAAGTAAAGAAATAATTTTAAAATTTTATTACGAAGAAACTTGCTAGTGTGATCAATTATAGACTTCTAGGTATAAAAATCTATTTCATTAAAATAAAATGTTGGGGTATGAGTTGAATAAACATACAAAGTCAAAGAGAAAAGATAAAAAACAATTTTAATGGCTCAAATATTTTTACTGTTCACATATTTTCAAATGAATTATGGTGGTTGTGACATCATTATGATAACAGATTTCATTGAACAGACCTTTAAAGTGATATGTTGTTATTGTTATGTGTCAACAAGTTGGAATCACCTCACTGCTATCCCTTCAGTGGGTTTTCAGAGGCTGTACATCACAAGGGAGGGGATTTCCCAGCTTTCTCCCACAGGCAAGTTGGTGGATTTGAACTGCATGTCTTTGGTTTAGCAGTGCAATTCCTTACCACTGGGCCACCAGACCTCCTGAATGTGATATAGCAGTTTTACGTTAATGTCTGTATTTACAGTATGCGACCATTCTATTCTTTCCCACAATTAAACATAAGATAGAATAATATAGTAACTTAAAAATTAGAAAACAATGACTGACTGCATTATTATTCCTCAACATTTCTCTGGAGAACATAATTTTAATGTTATTTGGAATCTGTGAACTGCTTCAGACTGCTTAATCTAGTTCATTACGGCCAATTCTTATATCGGCAGTAGCACACTTCTGGAGCACTTTTGTGTTTCTGATACTGTTCTTCATCTCTTACATGAATTAAATAGTTTTACCTTTACTGAGACTCTGGGAGGTGGGCACCATCATTATCCACCTCTAACATGGAGTAAGTTAACATAGCAGAGAGTGGATAGTTGACCCTAAATCACTCACCTAATAAATGGTGAAGCCAGGATTCAAAGCAGACAGCCTGGGGCCAGTACTCTGATCTTTAATTCCTATGGTTCTAAGGAGCTCTGGGGGCATAGGCCCAGCCCTAGTGAGTTGTGCTGTGAACCTACAGGCTGTGCATATAGATGTGAGTGGCTCTGTGGGAGACACATGGATGGTCTCCGTCTCCCCTCATTGCAGTTTATAGCCTCAGGAGCTCAGTGCGTGAGGGAATACCGGCTATGCTGGAACTGACTTGATGACAATGAGTGAGTGTGAGCGTATGGCTCTGTCTTTGTAAGAAGATGGCATTCTTCTTGTTCCCTCACAACCTTGTTTGCAGCTTCAATCTCAGCTTGCTCAGTGCTGTATCTCCCTCAACTCTGTGGGAGTTTATACATCTCTCCTTTTCTTGGTTGATTGAATCTAGCAAACTAGACAGCATGTCTTCTTGGCTGAGATGGTGTCCTCTGGGTACACTTAACACAGTATCAAATATCTATGAGCTTCCTCTGCCCAACCTAAGCGTATTTTCTGATCAGCTGACACAGTGACATGCACTCTGTGGCTGTGCCAGTTGTTCAAATACATTCTTAACTATCAACAAATCTGAAGCCAAACCCATTGCCATCAAGTTGAATTCCAGCCCATAGTGGACTGAGTAGTGCTGCCCCATCGGGTTTCCACAGTTATAGTCCTTTGTGAGAACAGACTGCCATGTCTCCCTCCCAGGAAGCAGCTGGTGGGCTGCAGACCTTTTGGTTAGTAGCTGAGTGCTTAATCACTGTGCCACCGAGTTCTTCACCAGTAAATATATGCTGTCTTCTCTGCTAATGCAGATATACCTTTCATCCCAGGGACCACCCCATATATAAATATTAAAAAATAAATAAGGACCATATATAGCCAGGGGCCTCCATGGTTTAGCTTGAAAATGGTTCTAGATCTGGCCTAATTCTTTAGGAGTCAGAGATGCGTACTATACTAGTCGAATATTAGCACCCTTGATCATTTCGCTTTTGCAGTCATACAGGATCCACTCTCCTACTTCATTTTATCACCTAAGTCTGGGCCAGAAGTTGGTCACCACCCTTTCTGTTTACCAAGCTGCCTGAACAATTGTTCTCTCTGGTTTAGAGGCGCATCCAGAGTGAGCTGTGAAGTCACTCTTGTAGCCTGTTGGTATGGAGGCAGCTCTAAGATGCTTCTTTTTCTGTCCTTCTCAGCTGTGTCCACCAACCCTGTGGAGAGGAGGGCCGCTGCGAACCATTGCTGCTTGATCACACAGATGCAGTGAATTGTACATCTGATGGTCTGGATAACATAAAGTGTGCTGTCACCTGTGAACGGGGATTTGCCCTTCAGGCCAGCAGCGGAAAGTACCTCAAGTCCATGCAGGTGAGTTGGAGTCCAACATCATCTGGACCAAGTTCCTAAAAAGAGAGTTATTTTTACCCTTCTCCTTGACTGGATAGGGGAATGATAGGTGTTTTTTATTTTGTTTTCTTTTTTCCTTCTTTTTTTATTGGTTTTCATACAAATGATTCATATATTTTGTGCCAGTGCTTTGTACGATCTTTCATTTACATTGTGTTTCATACGATTATTCACATATATTATATTCCATACAATTAGTTAACATGGTTCCATTACATGATCTTCTTGAGTCCTCATTGAATTTTTCCGAGACCTTCACCCCCCATCCACCAAATGCTGCTATCCTAGTGATTTCCACCCCTTCCGTCTCCTGCCCCTTCTCCTTATACACAACATACTAGTTATCCTTTTATTTTTATAATAATGCTCTTACGCACTATTTGGCCTTAGAGGTTATTGTCCTGAGGTAGTTCACTCAACAAAATGCTTTTTACTCTCTCCCATAGTATATAGTATTTTGTGAAATTGTTACTCCTTGGTGCTGCATAATATTCCATTTTGTGAATGTACCACAATTTTGCAATCCATTCGTTTGTTAATGAACATTTGGATTGCTTCCACTTTGTTTACTATTGGATGTTTTAAAATTATATGAAAGGGGTAAATTGGGATTCTAACAAGCAAGTTTGGTAGAAATACAGGATATGTAAGAGTGTATGCAATTCTAAGTGGTGGGCTTGCTCTCTTCTTTGGTATTTTTTATTTGGTGTGTGTGTGTGTGTGTGTGTGTGTGTGTGTGTGTTTGCTTTTGGGTTTGTTCCCCCCGCCCCAGAATCTCTGGTGACTTAGTCCATATACAATTGCACTACTATCACAGAGGCACCAGCCTTCTAGTAATTCGAATCGACCAGTGGTTTCTTGAGAGAAAGATGGGCAGTCTTGTCCAGTGTGATTCACAGCCTCTGAAAACCACCAGGAGGGTCACCTATGAATTGGTTCAGACTCAACAGTAATTTGGGGTTTGAAATATTTTTTCTGCATCAGAAATTATCTTCTTCATTTTTTTCTCAAGATGAGAATGCCTAAATATAGATTTGCCCCTGATTGTCAGGGAAAAGAGGTTATAATAGACTTGTCTGTGGTTCACTGCCCAGTCTCTTAACTTTTCTACAAGAAAACTTGGAAAGAAGGCTTACTTCTCTCCTCAAAAAATTTAACTCTATTACTAATATGGACATTTATCTAGACATGATTCATCTTCCAGACTTTTTACTATTGTTTTCAGGTGCCATCACCCCGTGAATAACATATCTGAACCTTGCTCTGTGTTGCACCATCCTCAAAAATCTCTGATATATTCAAGCCCAGTCTATATTGTTAAGTGTCTTCCTATCTTTTGCTGACACTATGCCTTTCCTCAGCATGATGTCTTTTTCCAAAAACTGACCCCTTCTGATAACATATCTGAATTTTTACTAATTGCCACCTCCACATCTTAAAAAAAATAAGAAAGTGGACTCTAAAAGCAGATATGGAATTAAATATGGACCTCATCATATACAACATTATAACTTGAATCAAAATAAATCTCCTTTAGATCATTTAATTTCTTATTAAATAATTAAAATAGAAGTATTTCTCTTAATGGGATATTACAATGACCAATGGAAAACAATTTAATGCTTACAGTAAAATAATAGGTGCATAGTACTCTAAACTCTTAGCTACTATTATTATAAGCATGATAATGTATTCCCAACTAAGAATTTCATTTCCCATGTTGATTCTAAGGAACTTACAGTACTATGTAGAGGAATTTTAAGTTTGAAATCAACCCCTAGAAAACATCAGCCTGTGACGAGACAAAGGATGAGGTAAGGAATAGATAATGGCGCATGAGGAGAGAATTAGAGAACTTTGACTACATGAGAAAAGAAGTTGAAGGGTATCTAGTTAGTGAGACAGCAGTGACATGTAGTTAGTGAGATATCAGTGACACGGAAGGCTAGAACACTTTTCTGTCATGAACCAATTGATCCTTCACAGACAGGAAAATTTCACTTGCCTAGGGATTTAAAGATTTAAAAAGATATTTAAGATTTAAAAAACACATTATTTTTATTCCTTCTTTTCACTCTGGTAAATTGTGTGTAACAAAATATTTGCCATTTCAATATTTGTTACGTGTGCCATTTAGCGTCATTAATGGTGTTCATTGTGTTGTGTAACTGCCACCATTATCCATTTCCAATTCTTCACATCACCCTTACTAACTAGACCCGATCTTTGGTTCAAAATTATTCCCACAAAGAAACAGGAGCAACCTGTCTTGAGCTACTAGTTTTGTGGTTTAAGGATGCTGTTGATTTTCTTCTTCAGAAAGGTATAGCCTTTATTATCTGTTTTTAATTGAGCTTAGGTAAATATAGAATAAAAAGTAGGTAAGTAATAAATCACATATTTAACAAGTAAAGAGTTAAAAATGGGGAGAGCAGGAAAGATAGGGAGTTAAACATGGGAGGAGAAAACTCAAGAGTAAACAGATAGTGCTTATTGAAACATGGAGAAAATCCAGTGATATATGATATATGCAGCATTCGAGAGACATTACTCCATATCGTAGTGGCTTGAGCCCCACATCCCAGTTCTGATCAGTGCATAAGGGGTGGACTCTGGATTTGGAGGGAAAAGGTAGGGGCTCATCCTTTGCCAACCATCTGGTGGGATCAACTGATTGCTCTGTCACCTGTGTCTGCACTCACTAAGGAAATGATACAATTCCCGGCTCATGATCATGGGACAGTGAGGATAATTGCTTGTTGTTGACACAAGAACCGAAGCTAAAAAGAAAAATGTGTCTGGCTTCACTTGGGTCCCTCTGGCAAGCAATAGGGGAACACTGGGAAGCTTGGAGGAGCAGCTAGCCAGGGCTTGTGTGGGGGTGACAGGTGCTTCCACCAGGCATTTTACCTTTGGCATTTCACCTAGCCACAGTGGTCTCCCCGTAGGGAAGTTGGCTTAGCCGAGTGATCGCCCCACTCTGCCCTGTCCCTGGACTTTGGGAACTCAGTGGCTGGGTGACCACTGTCATTGTTCCCCAAACAAGCTAAGAACATGCGGGTCTCCAGGCCTGCATTGTTCTTCCCTTTCCTTTTCTGCTCTCAGCACCTTTTCCTCGTATGTTCCTTTGGCTGCAAGGAAGTCCTGGTCATCTTTCCAAGGCCAGTTCCAATTAACTCACTCCTTGAACCTTTCCCAAAGCCTCCTTCTACTACCATAATGTGGTTTTACTTATACACAACAGCATGTTATTATTATCTTGATTTCAGTTGTCTAGTTCTTTGATTCTATTATTTACATTCTTTTTTCTTGTATTCTCTTAAATCTTTATAGAAAGGGGTAACCAAAGCAAAAAACCCAAACCACTGCCTTCTTGTCATTTCCAACTCCTGGAGACCCTCCACGTGGTTTCTGATGCTGTAAGTCTTTAAAGGAAGACACTGCCCATCTTCTTTCCACAAAGAGCTCAGTAAATATTTATCTCATTATTTAACGGTGATTCACCAGAGCCAAGACTCCTGGTGGTGCAAGTTTTTAAGCACTAAACTGCTAATTAAAAGGTTGTTGGTTTTAATCTGCCCTATGGCTCCACAGAAGAAATACCTAGTGAGATAGTCTCTCAAAAATGACAGCCTAGAAAACTCTATGGAGTGGTTTTACTCTGCCACACAGCGTCACTATAGATAGGAATTTACTTGACGGTACCTAACAACAACTCTATCCTACTGAAAATCATAAGCTTGTAGAAATGCGTAGAATTTTTTTTTTGGTATTCCCTCCAGGCTTGGAAAGGAATTTGTCTGCTTTAATTCTCAGTGGTTTTTAGAAACGATTCCCTGTGGAAGTGCTAGGTTTTTTTCTTAGTTGCATCATCAGTTGGCTTAATGGTAAGAGTTGTTGTTGTTTGCCTTCAAGTCGAGCAGGACTCATAACGACCCTATGAACAAAAGGCCTGAAGCCCCTCTACAACTATCTACATTTATCAAAAGTTCATAGAGTTTCCAGAGGCATGTTGTTTAGGAACTTGAGAAGGATTTAATAAAAGAGATGATTTATATAGGTGTAGTCAGTACACAGGGAAATTACAAGGAGAAGGAGCAGTATCACAGGGTAAAGAATGCCTGTGATCACTTCCAGTCTGAACGGAGGAGAGGGAGAGAGCTAGGTCTATGTGGAAAAGGCTTCAGCCAGTCTACAGCAACTCCCCAGGGAGGTGAACACACCAGCTTCTCTTACTCCCTCCCTCACCAGTCTCCTGCCAGTGGGTTCCAGGTCCTGATCCCAAGTCTAAGGCAACGGCACAAACACCTCACAGGCTAGCATTTATGAGCCCAAAACAAGAAGAAAGAGGGTAGAAAACAAATAGAAAGGAGCAAATGGATATCACACACTCACGTGGATAGATGCAGTGTCTCCATTCAACAATCCCCTTGTATAGGAGCTCTGGTGGCCAGCTGGACAGGTAGTTAGGTGTGCTGCTAATCCAAAGGCAGGTGGATACACTAGCTGCTGCTTGGGAGAAAGACAAGCAATGTCCTTCTGTACACTTTACAACTTCTGAAAACCCACTGGAGGGTCTGTGATGAGTTGGTTCTGACATGACAGCCATGACTTGGCTTTGATTGAGTTATACTGTGTCAGCACTATCCGTCTGGAATGATAGGCTGGGAGGCTCCAGGTAGGACTGGTAGTATTTGGTTTCTAACCAAAAGGTTGGAAGTTTGAACTCACCTGGTGACACCTTGGAAGAAAGCCTAGTGATCACTTCTGAAAACTCATTGGAAAATGTGTAAGGTGTAAGTCCACTCTAAGATATACACATGGGATCATCACGAGTCCCAGTTGACTCTAAGGCAGCTGTTTATTATGAGGCTTTATTTAGAGCAGTAAAGTGCAGCAGAATACAAAGTAACTATCTGTTTTGACTGTGTGGACAAATAATTTTTTTAAAGCCTATAACTAACCAGATATGCCCATTTATAAGGTTGACATAGGACAATTCTCTGTTTCTAGAAGGAAATTGTGCTCACATGCTCCTCTGGGTACTGGGACCAGATTGTGAGCTGCACACGTGTTGACTGTGGCATCCCTGACCAAGCTTTGGTGAACTACGCAAACTTTTTCTGCTCAGAGGGAACGGACTTTCTCAAACGCTGCTCAATCTCCTGTATCCCACCAGCCAAACTTCAAGGTATTGTGTGGCCAATATGTGATTTTATATGACTTCTTTTAGCTTCCTATTTTGATATCCTTCCTTCAAGTCTATAGTCCTCTGATAACAACTGTGAAGAACTGAAAAAGGATAAAACCATTCCTCACAATCTGGAATGATGCCCTGGTTCAAAACATTATCAATGAAAGATGCAGAGATTTTCTTCTGGTTTTAAGTAATTGTATGCATCTTGGAGGAGCACTGGTGGTGGTGTGGGTAAGGAGTTTCACTACCAACCCAAAGGCAGGCAGTTCTAATCCATCAGCTGTTCCTTGGGCGATAGATAAGCAATCTCCTCCCATGTGATTTACAGCCTCTGAAAAGCTGTTGGAGGGTCATCTATGAGTCAGTTTCAACTCAACAGCACATAGTAACACCACCATGTACCCTGGAATCAAGATAACTGTGCTGGTTGTCTTGATCATACTAATGATCAAAATGCCAGTTATTGTGTACATTTTGTACACAATATTTACAAAAAAATATCTTATGATCGAAGTATTCTTAGTTTCATTTGGTAGGTGAAGTAACAGTTCATTTGATAAATGGAGTCGCAGTTGTATAGTTTGCCCCTGGCTGTATTGCTAGTCAAAGATGCTACAACTTGCCCTACAAAATCATACATTTTTACCTCACTAAGAGCTCCTAGACTTTGAGGGATGCCCAACAGTTATCCAGGGACCTTGTTTCAAAAACAGATTCTGTTGCCTTTAAGGAATTCTGATGTGGTAAGCCTGCTCCTACGGGCAGCCCACTGTTTACTCTTCATGAAACTGTTAATTACGCTGTGTTGGGGCATATGGTGGTGTGCTTATGGGTAAAACTTAGGATCCCAAATATCTTTGGTTCAGTTATTACTCTATTCTTTACTCACTTGGGCAAGTTCCCTCACCCCAATTTTGTCATCTGTAAAATGGAGGATAATAACAGTATCTGTTTCATAGGATTATTTGAGGTTAGACCTTTATACAATTTAAAACATGTAAAATGTTTCCAAACACTCTCTAACTCTCTAATAAGTGCTCTAAAGGTGCCATTTTCCATTTATTGGAAAGTGTTCTATGATGTTGTTACTGCTACATTTTTATTACTGTACGAAGGAAATGACTTTCTTAGTAGCCTTCCTCTCAAGAATTAGGTCAAGAAACAGTTAATACAATTTCTAATCAGGGGAGAGTCTCTGTGTGGTACAAAGAATAAGTGCTCACTCATGTGTTAGCCAAAAGGCTGACTGATTGAATTCTAACCCGAGATAGATACCTCAGAAGAAAAGTCCTCTCAGCTCCCTAAAAGTCATGGCCTATGGTTCTATGATGCACATGTGTCGGACTTTACCTGAAAGCAGCTAGTTTTGTGCTCTAGATTAATCTGTCTAGAAGTGCACAATGGATGTGAGTGAAAAGTTCTATGACCTGATATTTTACAGAAGTAGCCCAACCAAGAATAATGTAGCTTTCTGAGAATCGCGGTAGGTTGGTAGGTTTTCATGTTTCTTATATTTCTATGTGGTGGTTGTATTTTGGGTTTGGGACTCTCTCTTATAAGAAGTTGTGCTTCTCTTTTCTGAACTTAGGACCAAACCCGTGGCTCACCTGCCTTGAAGATGGGTTCTGGTCCCTCCCAGAAGCCTACTGCAAGTTGGAGTGTGATGCTCCCCCTGTTATCACCAACGCAAATTTGCTGCTGCCTCATTGCCTCCAGGGACACCATGATGTGGGCTCTGTCTGCAAATACGAATGCCAGCCAGGCTACTACGTGGCAGAAAATGCAGAGAGTAAAATCAAGAAGTAAGTTGATCTATCTGTGACTTACTGACTCCTATTTACTCTCGCACTTTGCTCCTGTTCCCTCCTTGGCAAATTCTAGAATCATAGGTGATAGGAATATGATCTTCTGGTTTGTCTGTAGTCAGTTTTGCTGGGTTTTATTTGGAATCTCTCATCATCTAAAATGTATATTCCCCAGTCATGACAAGGAGGCAACCAGTTATGCTTTTTGTGGAAGGTAGTCTGTCTTGACAGATTCCTCAATCTCACATAAAATGTTCCTGGTAATTGTTTTTTCTTGCAAGGAAGGTGTTAAGAGCTTCCAAAACCTTGAAATGTCACCTACATCCAGGTCAGTACTAAATTTACACCAGGACGACAGTTTCAGGGATAAACTGGATGGTATTATCCTCAGTTCCGTCATGTACTATCTGAGGACTTGATGATATTTGTTGTTGTTGTTGTGGTTATGTGCTGTTGAGTCGTTTGCGACTCACAGCGACCCTATGCACAACAGCCTTAAACCCTGTTCTGTCCTGCGCCAACCGCACTGCCTCTGACACACCCATTCCGATTACCTCAGTCACCGAATCAATCCATCTCATATGATGATATTAGGAAGGTGTAATGTTGGGAGGGGTTCTTTTTCTGCCTCGGTTTTTCTCATTTACAAAATGAGGATGATAAGAATATCTACGCTAGAAGACAGATGTAGGTACTGTTTCTGCTAACTGCAGCTAAGTACTCCTCATTGAGACCCTGTGAACAACAAATTGGAATTCTGTCCCATCCTCATCTTCTCTGACCCACTTGAGCCCATTGCTGCAATCACTGTGTCAAATCATGTCTCTTTTGTGGTCCCTTCTTCACCTTTCCAAGCCTGATGTTCCTTTCCAAGGAAAGCCACTCCTAACTATATCTCCAAAGCATGTGAAATGAAGCTCCTTGAGTCTAAGTAGCCCTCTGGTTGCACCTTCTCCAAGTTATACCTATATGTGAATACTAGACGAATTCACATGGGTAAGCCTAATACTCAGCATGACATAGCTGCAGACTTCCTGGTTCTTCCTTGCTGAACTTTGCTTCTACAAAGATAATGTTTCTGTTCTCCTCAACCCATAAGCCAGGAGAACCATCTTCTGAATGCCCAGGGTGGACAGACAGAAAGAACATAAACATGGCAACCTAATTTAGAGAAAGGTTCTAAAGACCCATATGCCAGGGTTTACATCTGCCTCTTCCCTTTATAAACTGCACTTTTTAATTTATTTAAATGCCCATATCAGAGTTGGTTTGGAGACACAGTGAAATAATGCCCATCCGTTTCAGTGTCCAGTACGTGCCAACTTTCACTATGGTAAAAACAAACAAACAAAACAATATTGCTGTGAGTAGGAACCAACTCATAACTGACCATCCGTTGGGTTTCCAAGATTCTAAATTCCACAGAAGGAGGTTGAGACCATCTTTCCTCCTCAGAGCTGATGGTGGATTCAAGCCTCCAAAGAGGTGAGGCCTTTGGGTTAGCAGCACACCACCCTACAGCCCACGCCACCAGAGTTCCCTGCTTAACATGCTGGTGGTTGTTAGGCACCAACAAGTGTAGTATAACTCATACAGACCCTATAAACATCAGATCTGAAGCCTCCCCCTTCCTGTACCGGCCTCACCATCTCTACAACAGAGTGTTGTGTAACTATTACATTGTTACAGTCACTATGTCAGCTCATCTGTACGAGGGTCATCCCCACTTCATTACCCTCCACTTTTCTGAGCATGATGTCTTTCTCCAAGCCCTGGCCGCCTCCCTAACAACATGCCCAAAGCATGTGAGGCGAAGTTTTACCTTCCTTCCTGGTAAGGATCTTCCTGGCTGCACTCTCTCCAAACCATATTTGTTCCTTTTTCTGCAAGTCCATGGGATATTTAGTGTTTTTTCTAGCACCACAACTCAAAGACGTCAAAGATAATCCTTTTCTGTCACTTAATATTTAAAAAAAAATTAAGAAAAAGTTCTTCAGATTGAGTAAATTGTATACATTCATTCTCCGCCATAAACTACTTAAGGGCAGAAATAAATCAAATTTATTTCTTATGTTAAGGCTTGACACACAAAGTCTGACCAAAGTAGGCATTAATTTTTTATTTTTTTTTTTCACTAACAAAATCCCAACCATGGGAGTACTAATGTTGCTGGGGGTTACCAACTTTGCTTGTCAGCTAGAAGTCTCTAAGGAAGCAGATGATCAGAAAGTTTGCTTTCTGGCTTCCCCTTGGCCCTCTGGTAGCTGATTCCAACACATCTTGGGATAGGGCTGACAGAGCCAGGGTTTCCCCATCCAGGTCATTCCACTCCAGATCAAGCCAGGCTCGCCCATGGGTGGGAACGGGTGAGCCTTCACCCACCTTCTCAGTCCAAGGAAAGAATCAGACTGATTGGAGCCTGGTGCTGCTGCTAAAAAATTCAGAGGACAGTGCTCTCTGCTTCAGTGGACTTCATCTGGTGTAGTAAACAGTTTCTGACAGCTGAGAGCACATTTGCATATGATTTTAATATAATATAGGAGCAATTTGCAAAGGCATTCAGCGACAGGTGATACAGTGAGTGCTGAGGTAATCTCCAAGTGAAAATGGTACTGCAGCTAGCCTGAAGGCTGTTATTTTCTTACTTTTCTTTCCTCTGCATTTCGGCCTCCCTTTGCACTCACCTGCAGCCCCCTCAGATACCTGCAGAAAGGTCCAGATAAAGAGGAGACCCTCATCAAAATGAACTGACACTGTGACCTTAATGAAAGGGAGAGAGAAAAGACTTAGAGCCAGAAGGTGCTCATGGTGGAGAGATGTAACAATGCTTTAGCCGTGTACCAGGAACAGTGATACTTCTGCCCAGAACGCTGGTGTTTCTGTCTCACTCTTGCCTCTCCCTCACTCTGGGCAAGGGCACTCAAGGGCCACATGTCAACTCAGTTTTTCTGTCTTGAGAAACAGAATGCTTGCATCACAATGTCAGCATCAGTTCTGGCTTAAACATTTACATTCACTAGCACCGTGCTGTGGAGAGATTAAATTATTTACTGCACAGTGTAAACGGATTAAATCTTCGTCTACACCTGTTTACATAGCAGGCCAAGGGCTGGTAATCAGAAGTTTGCGCATGGGGATTAAATCATTGTCATTTCTTGCTCTTGTTTACCCAAGGCACTATGTCAGCAGTGTTATTTGCATGGTAGAGAGAGCCCAGTTCTGTAGAAATGGGGGCCCATAAAGTTCTTTGTAGGACATGCAGGCACAGAGGAGGAGAAACTGAGGGAAAAAAATGCAGGAATCTCAATCCCGATGGAGTGCACAGTGTAGTGGGAGACCCTCATGGCTACATTCATAACTTGTTGAGTAAGTGACTCTGGTCACTTTGGTTAGTGTGTCTCAGTTTTGGCATGTGGCTGCAAATAGCAGTCCCCTGTCCCTCAAATCTAGGGATGTACACAATAGGGGGAGCATTCGACCTCAGGAAAAGAGGCAGGGCAGAGGCCTGTACAGGCCTTGCAGCTGGATTGGAGGAGAGCTGGGCAGGGAATTTTTATTTTCTCCAAAGGGGCTTTGGTGACTTAGTAGCTAAGGAGTTATACTAGCAACCTAAAGGCAGGTGGTTCGGATCCACTAGTTATTCCATGAGAGAAAGATGGGCAGTCTCCTGCTGTGCAATTTACAGCCTCTGAAAACCTACTAGAGGGTCACCACTGAGTCAACTCTGACTCCGCAACAATTAGTTGAGTTAAAGAATAATCTAGAAGGAGGCATGGACTCCAGGCGTTATTTCTCCTGGTTTCTTTGGTTCCCTCCTTCTTCAGACACTGGGTGGTTCTACACTCTGCACTCAGCCTATGAGAAAAGGGAAGCACAATGTCCAGACTTGCTTAGACCTGTGTCAAGAACTCCCATCTTGGAGACACGGGGAGATTCAGCACCACCTAAACCCCTGGTGCTTCCCAAAGGAAAACAGAAAGGAGGAAATTGGAGGAGACAACAATCAAGAAAACTCATTATACAATAATAAATTGTCACATGATTAAATGTTGTGCCATCACTGCAGACATTTGGAAGAACATTTAAAACATAGGAAAACATTCACGTTACAATGAGAAGTGGGGGGTGGGAATCACAAAATACTGATTGTTATTAATTATATGACCCCCTCCTTTCAGTATTAAAACTGTATTCATATATTTTTTTTTCCAACAACTGGGCAGAAATACTCTTTCATATTACTAATCATTATCTCTAAGGAATGGATTTTTAGATAACATTTCTTTTTCTGCTTATTTATATTTTATGAGTTTTGTCCAGTTTTCTATAATCAGATCAATGAAGTAATAGTTAATAATAAAATAAGCAATTAACTATAAAAATGTTGTGTATTGTTAAGTCTAGCAGAGAGATAGAGAGGAAGAGAGAGAGAGCAAGAGCAGTCGGCCTAGCTGACAGAAAGCCATGTTCCCAAGCCAAAAGTGGTGACTCTACTCTGTGGCCCTCAGACCTGCCTTTTATTGTTTTTAGTAAAACATTATTCTAGTTCATGTAACCCTGGTATGTCTACTTGCTGTACAGAAGTAACTCATGGTTGCTGTGAAGCCGAACACGGTGATGCTGATGAGTTAAATGTGAGAATAGTTACACATGGTGGACAGTGTTTGGTGGAGCTCCCGGATTAAAACAAGTTTAGAAGCAGGAGTGGCATCTTCTTCCATAATAGCTTGCCTCTAGAAACCCTATGAACCTGGAGAGAGGATGAAAGTTATACAGATGTCCAGGACTTTTGTTCACAGGGTCACTATGAGTCACCTGCGACTCAACAGCACTTAACCACAAGAACAACAATTATTAGGTCAGAAACAACCAATAGCTGACCTTCTAATGGGTTTTAAGAGGCAGTAACTTGCATGGGAGGGGATTGTTTATCTTCCTTTCATGGAGTCAGCTGTTACATTCGAACCATGTACTTTTGAGTTGTCAGGGCAATTCCT